TCCAGTTTTCTTCTCTTTTTTTTTTCTATCCCACTCTCTGACACCAATTTGTTACGTCTCCGGTTGTTAATTGATTAATTGATTTTCCGTAACTTCGTTCCGACGAAACTTTAGCGACACAAGTCCTTACTTAATAAAACTGGTTTATTCTTTCCGAATACAACTTTGCGATACACTTATTTTCAACAGTCGCGCTATAACAAACTATAATGACGACGTTAACTTCAACAATACGTCTCTCTCTCAAGTTCAATTACTCATTACCTACACACACATTATCTCGTCAGGTTGTCACCCTCTTTTATATACCAGACTACCCTATATCTAGTAAATGCTAGAGCATTCGCCAAGATACAGGATAGTTCTAGAAAGCAGAGGGCGTGAGACTAGTCACGTGATCTCGCCGACGCAACACTTCGATATTTCACGTGTATTAGCACGTATTTTTCTAATTGCATCGTATAACCTAAAAATTACTATTTTAACGTCGAAAGAAAATAAAGCACCAAAACCAATAAAAATTCTGCGCAAAGTTTAAACTTAATAATTAATTTTAATTACCATCATTAGTTAAGACTAATGGTAATACGTTTGGGAGAAAAAAAAGAAAAAGATGTTTAATCCAAAAAAGTAATAATAAAACTGACAAACTTTACGAAAACCTAATAAAAACATACGAATTATGGTCACCAACCGCCTAATTTGGATGTTTTTAAAACTCGCCAAGAACTTCGAAACGCCTTCGTCAAGCTAAGTATATGCAGAAAGTAAAATACAAAGTAATCTAAAAAAGTGGAATTCAAACCAGCTCTTGTAAACGTCGAAGTATTATATACATATTTAAGACAACAATATCTGGTCAAAGGTTTGTTGCTAAGCTACACAGGCAAACCAGAGAATTACCAAAATACAACTGGCTTATATATGCATTAGATGTGATATTATCCCTGAATTAATCTATGATTGTATTCCTATTTTTCCGAACATATAAATAATATGTTGTGAATATAATAATAGATACATATATAAAAAATAGATGAAAAACACCCCATAAAATCACGACCGTAACTTCCACGTGATTGTCGATCACTATAACCAATACCACATTCAGTTTTTGCGATTAAGTTTTAACAAATAATCCAAATCCTTAACATAAACTATTATTATTATTTTTAGTAAAATTTCTTGCTCTAAACATTATAAGTTATATCTGTAGCAAGTTAAAAACAATTAAAACGGTTGTATTTCGTTCACTGAATTAGCAAACGTTCTTACTACATATTACGTGCCCCCAGTGACACAGCGGTATGTCTGCGAACTTAAAACGCTAGAATCCTGGTTTCGATACCTGTGGTGGGCAGAGCACGGATAGCCCACTCTGCAGTTTTGTGATCAACTACAAACACACACATACATATTACGTACATTACATCTTAAAATTCTTTATCTGTTGCAAGTTAATAAGAATTAAAAATACCTTTATAAATTTGCTATAATAAAGTAAAAATTAGTATTTAATTCTAATATTATAATTATAAGTATGTAAAACCGAATCATTTTACAATATAGTGTAATATAACACAGGAAACTAATTAAAAGCTCACTACTAAACATTGTACTAAGTAGAACATTGAAACAAAAAATTAAATGATTAATTTTGTACTTAACTTGTTGACTTACCGTAAAAAATATCATATTATTTTATCAGTAATGTAATGATTTTATTCTCCATGTAAAGTCGAGATGGCTTAGTCTGCTATGTGATCATTTGTCGATCAAGTGATATGCCCACTTCCATCCGTATCTTGTTTGGTTCCTTTTTAAAGTTCAGTAGCCAGCCCTACATAGCTTTTTTATTTAGCAATAAATGTTTTCCCTAATACTTCTTTATTCACTTTATTTATAAGGTGGCGTACGTGGGTTACAATGTTATATAGTGTATTCTAAAGCTTTTTCAAATTTTGCATGAAATAATAATAATAAAATAGGTAGTCAAAAGTCGTGAAGACGGTTTTGCTCTATCAAATGATGATAAAAATTATAGTTACTGCTAGAACTAGGTAGGCGCTAGGCTTGTTGAAGAAAGATGATAATGAACGAAAATAAGAAATTTAGGTTTTGGCTATTCATCAATTTTTGACTTTGGGATGCTCTGGATAGCTGAAAAGCGGCATATACACCGGAGATAGAGCGACTATGCCAGACGTCTCTTCATCTTTAGGTTATTGATGACCTGTATGTGTATTGATTTATTTATTTTTTTACTTCTTCACTTCATACATAATATAGGAGTCGGCTCCCTATGGACACCGATGTATAGTGTACAAAGCATTGAGTATTCTACATGTTACAGTCGTGTAATGTTCATCTAACGCGGATTTCTCTATCGTACAAATACAACAAATTCCTAGTTTAAAATATAATCCATCGCTAAGTTCAACAGTCTATTCTCCATAGTGCTTACTGAGACTTGTTGACCATACATTGAATTTTAGATACCAAAATCGTACCAATTTCAAATGTAATAGCCCCCTCCCTTCCCCACTGGCTCATCGGTAAAGCTAGAAAACGGTTTTCGATAACCGTGGTGGGCACAACACAGATAGCCATTTGTATAACTTTGCGCTTAACAACAAGCAAACAAAGACCAAAAATATAAAAATAATTATGATATTAATGAGCCTACGTATTTTTCATCAACTCTCTTTACATCAAACTCTGAAACATCTGTCTGGATAATATGTCACCGCTCTTCAAATGAATATCATTACAACAAATCTCTATGCTTAACCATTAAATGAAACTTTTTAATCTATGCCAGTATAGGGCAGTATACTACAGTAAATAGGAACTTTGGATAATACAAACTGGAAATACATTTGGAATAATTTTATTGCGAAATTCTATCCAAGAGCTTTATATAAATTATAATGCATTAGGCATTTGGCTTGTGTGATGGGTGTATATTTAAATGGCCTATAAAAATATTTTGAAAGTATTTTACTGGTAGAGTTTTCAGAAGCTGGTTGACTGCCCTTGAGTGGGTGGGGTTATTAGATCTAGGTTTGTTGTATGGTAGCGTAAGCATTTTGTATTTTTTTTCGTTAAAAATGACAATAATTGTTTTGTATTCTTCCAGATTTTCTCCTTTTTTTTTCTACTTTAGTTGAAAACTATTCCAAAAACTCATTACCATTCTTATATTAAGATGAAATATGTTACATATCCTACCATAAAGATTCGTATTTCAGTTGCCTCTGGAGCCGAGAAGTTATTAAGAGACCTGATAAAGTGAAGTCATATTTCCAATGAATTAAGATTAATTTGAATGTCTAAGCTGGAGTCATCAGAATCACTTAAACAAATAGACTGTACTCCATATGCAGAGAAACATCAAACCAATAATTCGTCTCATCCAGATTTCTCTGACTGGCATCGAGTAGAAACAACTCATTCAGTTCAACCTTTGGGAGAGTTGCAAGATTCGTGTTCTTTGCCCATTTCTGTAATAGATTCAAATGATGCACAAACACAACCTGTTCCTCTACTTTCCCAAAATAACTCTGTGGCTGATCTTACTGAAACTGGAAACCACAGGGTGACTCTAAATGTGGGTGGTATCAAACATCAAGTAATGTGGAGTACTTTGAAGCGCTTTCCTCAAACCCGCTTGGGTCGTTTACGGCAATGTCAAGATCCTAAAGAATTTGAAGAATACTGTGACGAGTATAATCCTGATGAAAATGAGTTTTTCTTTGATCACAATCCTGCATCATTCACTTCAATTCTTAATTTTTATCGCACTGGAAAATTTCATTTCGCAGATGGACTTTGTGTGAGAGCACTCATTGACGATTTTGATTACTGGAAGTTAAAAGAAACCTGGATGGAGCCTTGCTGTATGAGCAAATACTATGAAAAAAATGAGTCAATATTAACTGACTTAGACATTCAACAGTTCACTTTTAAAACAGAAATATATGCATTTGGAGAAGGAAAGTGTGCACGATATAAAGAGTTTATCTGGAATTTAATGGAAAGACCTAGTACTTCAATAGCTGCTAAAGTAAGTTTATTTATTTTAACAATACCTGATGAATACTACATTCATTTTATTGTGAAATAATTTGAAATCCATCAAGTAAAATATTAATATTACTTACTTTTTTTGTTTGTGTCACTAGTAGCCTGATGACTTTCTTTTTTGTCCGCTCACAGATGACTCAGCCATAAGCTTGGAGACCCATAACGCTAACATTCCATTGTGTAGTTTTGTGCTTAATTAAAATTAAACTATTTTTTATGTATATATGCATATTAGCAATTTAAAAAGTAATTTAGATTTTATGCAAAAGTGTATGGCTTCATATATTGTAGAAAAGTACGTTCACACTCTTGAATGACGTGTCTCATGATGTTAGGACTGTTCTCGCGAATTTTGTTACTTAAATATAATTTCATAATTTTATATTATTTTCTAGGTATGGTATTAACTGAGCTTCTGTTGCAACTTATAATTGAGAACTCTCCTTGATACGTTTGTTTGTTTTAGTGCAAGGCTGCACAATGGGCTATCAAGCCTTGAGCGGAGTTCTAGTACACTAAAATAACTTCGAAGCAGGTATCGTTGCATCTGCGAAATTAGATACATAAGTAATACTTCCCGGGGAGGGGGGGTACCGAAAATTTCAGTTAGTTAGGCCAAAGTCCAATAGCCTCCAAATGTGTGTGTGTGTGTGTGCATGTGTAAGTATTGGAAGTAAATGTTCAATGGGTAACAAGGGGTACTTTTACATTTACTGTTCTCCTAAGCCCCTTTTACCGCATTCATTTGCAAGGTAAACATGTCACATTTTGTACAAAGACAAACTTGCACATTCCCTCACAATACGATCTATCTTCCAAGAAAGATAAAAGCGTTACTATTCATTTTGCTGGTCCTTCAAATGCAAGCAAGATAAGAATATCAGTGTTAATCGTCAGTTTCAGAAAGCACCAAACACAGAAGAAATTGTTGTAGACTGCTCATAAAGTATTACGGACATAATATATAAACAAGGAACAACACCAAACTGTTAAAAAATATTATCATGAAACAATAACATGTGACATGATGAATATGTTACCCCTCTTCAGTTTTCACCTAAAAGTCCAGTGGATGGGAGCGGGGAGGGAAAGCTTATGGTTCCTGCACACCGGGCTTTTAAAAGGCCCCCAATTTTGGCAAGAATACTTAATTTATTATTGTATGATTACTTGATTTATTTATTTGTAGGACGATTCGCCTACCTAATTAGTTTGTGCTCTGTCGATCTTAGGTTCTGTATTTTGTGTTTTGTTCGTAAAATGAAAGGCATTTAAAATACAGTTCAGATAGTTGAAACAGAGGGTAGATGGAGCTCTTAATAAGTTCATTCACCACAGTCCACTTATCATTTCCTCCACCACTGTAACAGTCTGTAAGGGCCTGGCATGGCCAGATGGTTAGGGCGCTGGACTTGCAATCTGCGGGTCGTGGGTTCGAATCCCTGTCCCGCCAAACATGCTCGCCATTTCAGCCGTGTGGGCGTTATAATGTAACGGTAAATCCCACTATTCGTTGGTAAAAGAATAGCCCAAGAGTTGGCGGTGGGTGGTGATGACTAGCTGCCTTCCCTCTAGTCTTTCACTGCTAAATTAGAAACGACTAGCACAGATAGCCCTCGTGTAGCTTTGAGGGAAATTAAAAAACGTTATTTTAAATTTTTGCATCCATACCTACCCGCAATTGGCCAAGAACATTGGATGAGTGGCTAAACTCAAGACATTATTGGATTTGGCACCTGATTTTCATCCTTAAAAACGTTTTGATTGTTCATCTACTGTTGTCATTCTATTTGTATGCTACTGCTGCAATTATTTCTTATTTGTTATATAAAAAAATGTACCTTTTGTGATTTTTATAACTGTTAAAATGTTGTTATTAAATCTTAGATAATTCGCGAATTTGTTAAACATATGTACTTACATAAAGTAATAATAAGTATCGTTGAGTGATTAGAATTTATCTTTTTTTTTAGTTCATCACCAGCTTCTCCATGTTATTCATTCTGCTATCAAGCATTACACAGATTGTAGGTACCATACCTTCCTTAAGGGAAGAACATGATGAACATGACGAGAAAGATATTCAGCTACATGTAGATAACGAAAAACTGGGTACTATTGAAGTTATTTGTGTGATTTGGTTTAACATAGAGTATACGTTAAGGTTTTTTTCTGCACCAAACAAATGGAAGTTTTTTAAAAGTATTCTAAACCTCGTTGACTTCTTAGTCATTGTCCCATACTTTGTGTCTTCAATCCTTGTAGCTACAAACACTGTCCCTGAAAATTTTGAAAGTGTTCATGAAATGATTCTACTCTTCCGTCTGGGAAGGGTTTTGAGAATTTTGAAATTGGCTCGACATTCGTCAGGTTTGCAAAGTTTTGCATATACAATGAAGAAAAGTTTACGAGAGTTTGGATTGCTGATCTTGTTCTTTGCCATTGCCATCATGTTTTTTTCTAGTCTGGCTTATTTTGCAGAGAAAGATGAACCCGAAACACTTTATACCAGTATCCCTTCTACCTTTTGGTGGGCATGTGTTACTATGACAACTGTTGGTTTTGGAGACATGGTTCCCGTTACTTTACCTGGCAAACTAATAGGCAGCATTTGCTGCATTTCTGGTGTACTAGTTGTGGGTATGCCTGTACCCATCATTGTCAACAACTTTGCAGAATTTTACAAAAAACAGAAGATGCTCCACAAAGCTCTGTTGAGACAAAAAATTATAGAAGAGACCAAAAATACGGACACGTTACAGATCCCTTCTTCACGTTCTTCGCTCTGGTCTTCGTCACCAGGAACTATTTTCTGCAAGATAAAATCGCGATTCACCAGCAAGGTGAGCTCTCAGTTTTTTTAATTTTACATTGCAATAAATGTATATCAGCATATTCAATGGAAAGCTGAAAGATTTCTAGCAAGTAAATACGGTAAACATGAGTTAAAAGATTTGAGGAGGATTTTAACAAATAAAATTGCCAAAACACATATAGCAGTTATGGTAAGAAGCACCCAATAAATAACCAATTCCAGATTTTAATGAGGTTTACGTTACAAATAATGTTTCTTGTCCAAACACAAATAAGTTAGATTTTGTTTTTTTTTACAATAGATTTCTCCAGATAAAATTCAGACAAATCTAAAACGCTTTATAAAACCTGATATCCAAAAATTGTTACGATTCTCGACAGAGAAATCGATAGTTTTTGATATAACGACCATAAAAGTTCCAGTAAACTTCAAACGTATTTATGCCGTTTTATATTTCCAACAGAAATGCTAGATTTGCAGTTCAAACCATCAAATAAACACGAACCTCTTATTTGTGACCTAAACTGTCGAGAAAAAAACTAAAAATTTGAATTTAACTCATACAGTAAAGTGTTTGTTTGTTGTTAAGCGTAAAGCTACAAATGGACTATATGTTGTCTGCCCTCTGTGGGTATAGAAACCTGATTGTTAGCGTTTTAAGCCCTCAGATTTACCGCTTAGTAAACGGGGAGCCAGCAAGAAGACTAAATAAAATCGATTTCTGGGACAGAACTCGATTTTAGAGTAATGTCCACTAAAAGGAAACCGTCCATGAAAGTGACCTTGATTAGATGTGGGGGGGGGGGGGATTAAAAATACACCCGCTTTGTTACTTACTATCCACAACATTAACTGACTGAAACTAAACGCTTATTATTTCACCATTACCTCTGATTGACCTATATACGTATTTTGCCTTAATGACCAATACAAGTACAATAAAGTGGATATGAAACTGTGTGACCTCGCTAGTTTCAGAAGCCCCCTCGATATAGCACATTTCAAATTTAAACTTTAACCCCTGCCTAAGTTCCTCGGCCCTCACGAAGCATGCCAGTAACTTTATCATTCTTACAAGTCTGAAACAAGTTCCGAATTCATCTTATATTTTTTATCTGTAGTCAGTAACTGATAATTCGTGTTCTTACTGTGGTTTTTGCCACAAAATGTTACAAGTTATAAAGTTTTAAGTTGAACAAAAGCAGAAATATCCTCCTGTTGTCGAGAAATAAAACTTTTTCACGCTAAACTTTAACAGTGCAAGCAAATTTAAGCACCAAAGAATTTAATTTTTTTTTTTTTAGTATTTGGAGTGTTGTGTGTGTAGAATATTGTTGAAGGGTTTCTTCTTTTACTCTCTAACCTATGTATGTGGTGTTTTTATATTTTTATTAATTGTTCAACCTAGCTGAAAAGTATATAAAACTTCCTACATAGTGAACTGTAGTAGGCAAAATATTGGTCTACAGTGTTATGTTGTCCTCTGATTTGAAATTTGTAATGAACGTGTTGAGAGGAATGTGAAAAGTAAAAAAAATCTAATTTCAGTTTAATAAAATTTATATTCGGCCTGTTATGTTTTCAAATATGCTTGCCGCCAAAATAAAGTAAAATGAATTCCTGATACAATAAAGTGAAAATATATCGTTGTTATAGTTGGTAACCTAACTGTCGCCTAAGTCTAATTGCTAATCTTTACTAATATTATTTTTAATAAATATATACTAACTACTAACTATCTTTTTATCCTTCATTTCGCTTGTTAATCTGCTTCCGTCTTTAGGACAGACTGAGCAGGACTAGTTCTGCGATAGTGGTGGTCAAGATTTCATCCATGCTCTTCTTAGTAGGAAGGCTAGTATGCTATCCACTTGTCTGAAAACGCTTCTTGAGTTTGATCAGAGGTCATAACAGTCCCTGTCACCAAGCCCTGTTATGCTCTTTCTGACAACTGTGAATATCTACAATAACCCTATTAAGTAGTTTCTATTGCAAAGGGCTTTGACGTAAAACAGCCATGTCTAAAGCACGCCACTCCTTCCTGCAGACTTTCCATAATACGAATAGTATGATTGGAAGCTACCCATACCCTTTTGGCCTACTTTCCTTATAAATTCTGTATTTTTATGCAGTACAAAGGAACAAGAACATTGATTTGATAGTTCACATTGACCTAGGCCTGGCATGGCCTGGTGGTTACAACACTCGAACTTTCAGTCGTGGGGGCATTATGATGTGATGGTTAATCCCAATTTTCATTGATAAGAGTAGCCCAAGAGTTAGCAGTGGGTGTTGTTGACTAGCTACCTTCCCTCTAGTCTATCGCTACTAAATTAGGGATGGCTAGCACAGATAGCCCTCGAGTAGCTTTGCACAAAGTTCCAAAAACAAAACACATTGACCTTTGTATCTACTCTCTTGATCCATAACTTGCCTCTGATACAGTTCCATAAATAATCGTGAATCTTTTCAAAACTATTTCGCGACATGTCGTGTACCATTTGGAAATTTGTTTCACCAACCTCCCAATATAAAATGACACGAAAGTTTACAGTTATCAAGGAACACATACTCTTTGTCAAGTGTCGTGATGTACTGCCATTTTGACTTGGCTAGATACGTTCATGCAGTCTTCAACAACTGGATTTTTAATCTTGAATATTTTGTGGAAGCGAGTCGTATCGCTTATTCAGAGAAAGTTCCTTGTTGATTATTTTGCCTACTGTTGCCTGGGGCATGTGGACGGCTTTTGTAGCTGTCCATTGTGCTTGTGGATTCTCACTTGTTACAAGACGCCACAATTTTCTTGTCATGGCTGAGGTATGACTTATTGCGAGTCTCATTCTGGTTAGTTCTGTGTCCCCAAGTTGATCCATATTATATTGTTTCACAATGCCATTGTATAGCATGTATAGCCCCAATCTGCACTCTGTCCACCTAAGGATATCAAACCCCAGAATATGGCTTTATAAGTCCAGGAACTTACTGCTGACTCCACCAGTGTCCCTGTCTTGGAAATTCTAAATCCCTAGTTTGAACATATATTTATCACTTGAATGTATGAATATATTACATTGCAAAGAACTATAACATACAATTCTCAAAACCAATCAGATTTGGGGCGGCATCACACTACTATAGAACGCCAAGCAATGCCAGATTGTAGTTTATATACATACCATTCTACCGCAACTTTATACCGGCTGTTTGTCACGTGACTTGCTGATTTATATGTTCAATATAAGATGCTTTATATATTTTGAGTTGATTTTCAGTCTTGAATATGAAGCGTTTATGGAAGTCAAAGAAGACAATATTTGGAACAGGTACTCAACTGAGATTTTACTACTTTGTAATTTGGTGCGTGGAATGCTGCATAAACTTTCTAAATATTAATGGAGTATATTACAGTTTAAATTACTATGCCAATTGATTTTAGCCTATTGTTGAAGATAAGATTGAGAAAAAAAAAAGTCCTTAAGTATTCCAAAAGAAAGCTTTGCCACAATTCCAGTATTTTCTTCCCAAAACCTCACCATCACTAGAAAAAATATTGTAGTAGGAGAGAAAGGCGAATATTGTTTCTATTTCAGGAAGTAATGAAATCACTAGATAAGAATATGCTACACGTTTGATAAATTTCCATGCAGTGTATCATTTTCGTCATTATTACCTTTATAGACACAGGTTTTGCTATCGGATTAAACTTACAGCGTTGAGATGGTTAACAATAAGCCAGACAGAATAACGAGCATAAAAACTTCAGGAATTTGACCATTTTACCAAAAGGGCTCTACCATGAAGGGGATTTTAGGTACTGTCAACATGAGGAGGGACGTGATTATTAATGAAATAAACCTAAAGTGAGAAAAACTGAATCTCACGTTTCTATGTAAAAGTTTTGAATTTATATTAAAACACACGAAGCTAATGATTTTAACAAACCCATACTAAATCCATGGAAAGATAAAGAAGTACAATATTTTGACAAGCACCACAAACTATGGCTTGTCATGGCATTTAAATTATCTTATTTCTTTACTTAGAACCTACGTTTTAACCCAGACAATCACTCTGCTGAGATGTTTTTTACCAAATTGTCATCAATTGGACACTTTTCCAAAAAGGACACCCCACTCTTTTTGGTAATAGTAATTTCGATAAACACTTAGTAGTTCACACCACTCACCACTTGTGTTTGAGTCTCATGAATCTTCATTAATATGTGGTGGTGAATAACATTTCATTGTGAATTCAATTCCTTTGTTGCAACTTCTGCAGCTTCCATAACATTGTTATTTTCAACACTTGCATATCTCGAACTTTCAGATATTTGACCAATAGAAATGCAAACCAAAACAAGAACGACAGTGAAATAAACTCTGAATGCTGGTTTTCCAAAATTGGATTCATTAATGGTACAAAATATTATAACAGGTTTGGTTTGTTTTGAATTTCACGCAAAGCTACACGAGGGCTATCTGCACTAGCCGTCCCTAATGTAAGACTAGAGGGAAGGCAGCTAGTCATCACCACCCACTGACAACTCTTGGGCTACTCTTTTACTAACGAATAATTGGATTGACCGTGGCATTATAACGCCTCCACGGCTGAAAGGACGAGCATTTTTGGTGGGACGAGAATTCGGACCCGCGACCCTCAGATTGCGATTAGAAACTGTATGTACTTGTCACGGTCAGGTGACACCAGTCTTATATAAATCATACCAAACTATAGATGTTGTTCATTGACTACGTTACCATTCTCCTTTCTCCCATCAAACAAAGTTTTTCATTCTTGCTAGATAATTCGATCTTGGATTCACTGCAAAAAGCACACATTTCCAGCTTTGCTCATTTCATTGTTTGTGTTCCAATACCCATTTAAAACTTCTGATTTGGTCACATCTTCTCAGTATAGGTTTTGTAGTGGCTGTACATCCATTTCGTCACATCTTCTCAGTACTGGTTATGTAGTGGCTATACATCCATTTGGTCACATCTACTCAGTACTGGTTTTGTAGTGGCTATACATCCATCTGGTCACAGTATTTTCAGTACTGGTTATGTAGTGGCTATACATCCATTTGGCCACATCTACTCAGCACTGGTTTTGTAGTGGCTATACATCCATTTGGCCACATCTACTCAGCACTGGTTTTGTAGTGGCTATACATCCATTTGAATCGCTTCGTGGTAATGTGTATGTTACTGCTGTCTATTTAACGTTCATCCTTGTACTTACAGCAAGATTGTAGGCCAGATTTGTACTCAACCATTGTCAACCTCGTAAAGAACATTCCCAGAGATACTTAACATCACCTTTAAAAAGTTTCGTTTTTTACCTTGACTACTTCTATTGTTAATAATGACAGTTTCACGTCATAACACATTACTAAAATATGGAGAATTACCACAATTTTTAACATGTCCTGTTAAAACTTTGATTCCAACACAATAGTTATGTGTCATTTCAGTCCTGGGAGCAAAGAGCAGTGACTGGAGTCACACTACTTTACTGAGCATAGAGTGACCACCTGTTGTTTTGTAGGCTTTATACTGGTGTGGCATTTTCTGAGTGACTGGTTGACAACAAATCACATCACATAGCTTACAACGAATGTAAGCTATGAACTGTTCTCTGGTTTCAGACACCATGTTCTACCGCAAACCAATTTTTAATAATATGTTACGACTTGAACTTGACTAGACGTAATGAATTTGACTAGAGGTAGTATTTTACGACATGAACTTGACTGGGCGCAATATTTTACGACATGAACTGGACGTATACATATGCAAGTTCATGTATTCACCCAATATTCTTAGTATCTAATGTAGAACTCTTGTAGAGTATTAAGTCCTTGTAGAATCATATGTTCGACGACTCTGACAAAACACTATTTTTTCGTATGTGTGACATACACATTCTCCTTTAAGCCTATTCTTGATACTTTTTCGAAACAAGACATCGTTCAATATTATTTGTGCCATGTATACAATTATAATATTTTATACCTATATAATATTTTTTCGATAGTGAATTAAAATTCGCACAAGTATTTTAATACCTTCCATTGATTGTTTGACAGTTTTCAACGTGACACCTTACAAACTGATGCCCCCCCCCCCCAGTGGCACAGCGGCATGTCTGCGGACTTAAAATGCTAGAATCCTGTTTTCGATACCTGTGGTGGGCAGAGCACGGATAGCCCACACTGCAGCTTTGTGATCAACTACAAACAAACAATACAACCTGACTTAGACATATTGTCTTTAACAGATTATGCTATAACGTTTTTGAATTAGTCTCAATCTTTGTTTTAATCTGTGCATATCTCTCAAAATGTCAATAGATTAAATAGCTTTACTCATTCTTTTAGCAAAAGTGTACTTGAATATATTTCTAATAAACTGTGTGATGTACGTTATCGTTTTTTTATTTGTTTTGTCTCAAATATTTCTTTAAATCTTCAAATCTTAAGTAAATTCTTAACTGGCACGTGAATTGGCAACGAACACGTTTTTCTCTATTTCTGTTTTCAGCTTTCATCAGTATTACTTATATTGTATGTACATATTTAATACTTCCAATTTTTGTGACGCTTTTAAATGATAATTTTCAGAGAGTCATAAGAACGTTCTTGAAAAATAAAACAAGGAGGGTTTAATCGTGTTATGATGTTTTAAATCTTTTTCAAGTGAAATATATGAACAAAAAATGACTATTCTGGTAGCATCATACTGTCTTCTGTAATTACATATTTGTTCATCTTTCTAGGAGTCAGAAACTTTCATTAAATGAAGACGTCGTCATCAAGATGGATAATCGGTTCTTACAATCTCATCGACGTTCAAACTTCTTGCTTTTTTTTGTCTTTTACTTTAGAAATGTGACAATTTATATAACGTGTGTTGCAGCTATATTGAAACCAACATTACAATTATATGCATGTTAAGTAGCAACAGAGGATTAAATTATCTAAGGAAACCATCCGAGTACCAGAAAAATAGATAGTTTTATACAAAGTGTTCTTATACTTGTATGTAATAATTGCAATATTTTAGAAGTGTAAAAAAAAAATTACTTATTCGTAAAATTGTGTTTTGTGTATACAATAAAAACTCGGCGTGTCATACCGTGTTTACTATATATAGATATACTTATATAAACTATATAAATTTATTTCAGAGAATATCGCCAAGAAATAACCTATTACACGATCTGGCCGGATTCGATACATACTAATTTACCAATACAACGTATAATTTACAACACTAATTTGGCTAACCTTAATTTAAACCCAACACTGCTCCATAATAGCAACTTGTGGTGTTATATTGTGTTGTTTTTTTTTAAATTATGTTTTCTGAATGTTTATTACCTTTTCATTACGTTAAATTCAAGATAAAAGGTGCTGCAAATTGTATATCTCGTTTGTCAAACATGACTACATGTTATCTACACTTTCAAACATCATAACCGACAAGAGCCAGTTGAAATGTCGCGAGACTAAAATTTTTGTCTTTACTCCAGTTATGAGTTAAAAGTTACCAAAATATTAAATCAACGCAACACCTTAATAGACTTGAAATGTCAGAATAATGTGGTTATTCTAACCACCGGCAAAAAAAATATTTTCTTCTTAACTTTAATGTCTTTCTGACAAATATTAACATGTAAATAACTTCACATCTCAATAATAACTACGTAAATGATAATTTATGTTTCTTTAATGATTGCAACTCAGACTAGGACTACGATTTAGGATTAAATTCCTTAAATTCTGTCAACTTTTAATATATAAGGATTTTTACCTATAAAACAATCATAAGGATAATTTTGAATAAGATTGTTTGTAGTTAAGTGCAAAATCACAAAATGGGCTGTCTGTGCTCTGCCCACCACGGGTATCGAAACCCGGTTTTTAGCGGTGAAAGTCCACAAACATGCCGCTTTGACAGCGTTGGGCAGCATGTTCAATAAGATAAGTAAATGATCCCCCCCCCCGCCGTCTATCACAATAAACATACACAAAAACAAAGTGATTCCCCCCTGTCTATCACAATAAACGTACACAAAAACAAAGTGATCCTCCCCGTCTATCACAATAAACATACACAAAGCATTATTCGCCCACAAATGTTTAACTAACATTAACGTCCCAATACATTTTATTATGGAATTATTAGTTTTGTAAAAAAATTTTAAACGTCAAGCTACACAATGTGCTATCTGCGCTGTGCCCAACTCGGGTATCGAATTGTGATTTTTAGCGTTGTGAGCTCTCAGGCTAACCGCTGAGTCACAGGCGGGGATTCTATAATGTATAAGATTATGTTGAAATAGTATATACTATGAAACGCCAAAACTATAATCTCCTGGAGCTACAACTTACGAATACAAAATTTGAAGTTGAAATTTGAAATTTTGTCTCTCCACCACTTCCGAGTCTGAGCACAAACACAAATCGTATTTTTCAGGTTAAAATATGAATGGCTACGGACGTACAATCTTCACAGACTTCTCAGCCCATTCAAACAACATCATGTGCTTAAACTATCACAATATTTCCACACATTATGTAAGATAATTTTTACCTGTTGTAGACATATATTTATAGTAAAGTAATCACGTGTGTTTTAGTAAAAACAACTTTTGTTACAAGATACAAGCAGTACAACGTCAATTCTTACGTTACCAGACTACTCATGGAAAAGCTACATTTACGTACAGTAAACCAATATTTGAGTTATATAATATTTCAAGAATCAGGTGGAATGAGCTGCGTTTTGTCCAAAATTAATAGTGATTAATTGGAGAAAGAGTCTTAACGTAGTGTATTTAGACCTATTTATATGGAACTGAGAAGTTCAAGCAGCTGACTTGTGGAGTAATACAAGACACTCTGGAGTAATGTTTAACAAACATACATTTATAAACTTATAGTATTATAAAAACAAGATTTAAAGCCAGGTTTAAAGCAAATACATTATACAACGTATCTGCTTTTAGTTTGTATTTTCTGTAATAATTTATTGTACTAATAATACGTTGGCCAATTAAATGAAACTACTTGTTCTTTTTGACTCATGTGTGGGAATCACCTGCACATTTCCAAATTATTTCCACTGCTACATATTTCATGAGTATAATAACAGGGCAGTTTCTGCATAATTCTAAAATTTATTATCACTTCAATGATACGTTTTCTTAGCACATTTTTTTAGCATCATGAATATTCAATATGCAAGTCATGTGCAAAAAAAAACTTCTCACTACATGAAACTGTTTTAAAACATGAATTGCAATGTATTTCTTAATGTTCTTACTACAAGTCTTCTCTTTTTTCTCACAATCCACAGCCAAGAATTAACAAATCATATAAGGTATATTTCAAACACGTAAAATGTCATCTTGGCTTCTGCTAGCTTTGTTTCATTGGGTCTTAGCCGCCAGCTGGTCAGCATAATGTAGGAAGTTGTAGAGAAGTTTGTGCCAAAGCCCTGGGTTAGTTAGATAAGCAGGATGGTTTCCTTTGGGAATCTCAACTCCTTGACTTCTTGGTAACAAACATAATACAGCTGAATTTTTCCCACGGTCATACTCTCCAAACACCACCATAGTTGGAGTCTAAAATTCAAAATGAAAGTATTGTTAATTTTCTAAAAAACTAAAGAAAAGCATTAGATGTATATATATATATATAGAGAGAGAGAGAGGATAATCTTGGTTTTCATATTTTCTTCTTTTATCTATTGTTTATTGAGTTCTACTTTCAGATAGATATAATTTGCATAAACAAGAAATAATAACATTTTAACAACAGACCTAAATGTTTCATTATTTGTCTATTACTCACTACAAAATATGTTAAATAACAAAATACCCTCCCTTGGTGGATTAGTCAAAAGTCTCACAGCTTACAAAGTTAAAGTTCGGGCTTTGATACCAGCGATGAGCAGAGAACAGATAGCTCATTGTGTAGCTTTGTGCTCAATAACATACAAACAAAATGTTAAAATATATAGAAGAGTACTTTTAATGTATCACAACTGTCAAAAACTAAAATATAAGGCCTTTTCAAATATTTTTTAAAATATTAAGACAAATTCAAGTAAGAAAAATTGTAAGAATTTGTCTTTCTTTGTAATTTAACTGATAAAATTTCCAATTAACTTTACAAATAGAATTTCAGTTCCCTGTAAAACACCCAATAATCCATAATGTGCATAATCAATTGTATGAATGAATATGAAATTAAGTATAAGCTCGATTTTGAAGGATTAACCATTGATAAAAATTACTGCTGTTTTTTCTTCTTAATATAACTTAATATATAAATCAACAGAGAAAAGTCAAACATGAAACTTGATCAATATGAATGTTGAATAAAAAATTACATTTTCATTTTAAATTGATTTAGATCAGTTAAAAATGCACCTCTCAGAAAAAAATAATTAAAAACTTAACCATAGTATATAATTAGTTGCTCGGCTTATTTAAAATGTCGAAAATCTAATCTCCTTGATGAATGTGTGTTGTTGTTTATTAATAACTGTTACATTGTGTATATTATTAGTCTCTAAACTACCTGAAGTACAATTTACTGGTGTATAATTTGTGCAACATCTTTTTAAAAATCATCTCCCAACTATAACTTAAACTTGGCAACTTTAGCAAAATAAAATGACATGTAGGTATTTATTTAGTATTTAGTAGGTATTTATAATTATTTTGGAAAAATAAGTTGTAAAAATTATTTCTTGTATGTAACTTAACTGAACTGTAATATGTGATAAATGATGAAATGCATCAAGACAAGTAGAAATATTTAATTACCTAAATTGCCAGTAAAACTTCAGTAACGCTTTGCTGATTGGTTAATTTAGGTAATTGAATTTCATTGAAACTTTCACGATTGAAATATGATGACAAAATATTTCTTAATGAACTGAAATGTGCTTAACAGATATTTTATGTTTGAAAACATTTCCACCCCCCCTGCAACATCTTGTCAATTATACGTTTCGTTTGATGTTGGCATTTGAATTGCTTACCTTAAGACAACTTAAGTCATGAGGAGGAAGTGAAAAGTAAAATTACTTACCTTAAGACAACTTAAGTCATGAGGGGAAGTGAAAAGTAAAATTACTTACCTTGAGACAACTTAAGTCATGAGGAGGAAGTGAAAAGTAAAATTACTTAACTTAAGTCATGAGGGGAAGTGAAAAGTAAAATTACTTACCTTAAGACAACTTAAGTCATGAGGAGGAAGTGAAAAGTAAAATTACTTACCTTAAGTCACGAGGGGAAGTGAAGAGTAAAATTACTTACTTTAAGACAACTCAAGTCATGAGGAGGAAGTGAAAAGTAAAATTACTTACCTTAAGACAACTTAAGTCATGAAAGGGGAGTGAAAAGTAGTTCTTTAAGCTTTCACATACACTGTCAAGAGGCATTTCTTTAGACTGATCACTACCACAAGGTTGTCTTTCAAGAACGCTTGTAGCCCCAGGTGCAACCGGCACATAGCCACCCATGTCCGTTGAATGTTTCAACAAGTAAGGAAGAGCAAAAGCTCCACTCATACTAGGACTGACCACCACTGGACGTATCAAGTTCAAGGCTTTAACTATATCGTTAATGAACTCGCCGCGTTCAGGGATTCTCTTCCTTCTACTGTTACCAAATCCTGTTTAAAAATTTTTTAAAAGACATCTTAAAATACAAATACGCAATGAATAATATATACAAACAAAGCCCATGCTCTGTAGCCTGCAGGTTAAAGGTCACTAGGATTAAACTTTTGCAGAACACATTTATGTAGAAAACAAAAATATAATTGTGGATTTACACTTTTGATAGATTCTTAAACATGATTATTTAAAAACCTTCAATTCATAAGCATAAGAATAAGGCATGCTAAAGTATGCTTTACGTGGAAGCCTACTTCAATGCACATTATCTTCACAGCTGTGCAGGGCTAACGAGAGGGGTGGGCAAGGGGGCTGCTGCCCCGGGGTCTTTTGAGGAATCCGGCAGTGGGATATTCCAAAGCTCATTAGAAATGTATGCTACTTAATGAGCTAAAATGGCTACTGGTTTTTCATTGATTCATGAAGAAAACTGTCACCTAAATTTCTTTTATGAAAAATCAGCAAAAATTGATAAATAGAATGAAAGGAGGGGCGATGATGTTACTGACCCCGGGGCTGGCTCTCGACGCCCCTGCAGCTGTGTATAAATCTCTCTCTCTTCACAAATTTAATGTAAAAAAAGTTTCTGCCATAAATGTTAATATAATGGCCAAAGTAATAGAGCTTTAATAAGTGTAAAACACAGCTGGTTGTTTTTAATGTTTGTTAAGTTACTCAGGTTATGAATGTATAGCTTTCAAGGAACAACAAAAAGATAGAAGATAATGTATGTTTATCTCTCAGCACCAGAGTTTCTGAATTATTGTGAGAAAAAAACATGACCCAAGCCCGATCTAACATTCGATTCCTCACTTGTTAGTGATTAGACCAGCTCGGGGAATTTAATCCCCACAATCTAACTCGGTAACAACTGACAATGAAAATGATACACTGGACTTCACTTTTCTTTCTCGACAAGTTTCAGAATGAAAATTATCTCAAACAGCTTGTCTGCCTAGTTATTTGGAAGAATAAATTTGTAACTTTAATGTTAAATGTCCTTCAAACACATACATGAGCATATGTTTGCTTTAAATATTTGTTTTCAGCTAAGATGATTGCTATGAAGAAATTCTTGACATGCCTATTTCCTTGTTCACTGGTGAACTGGCGCCTATCTTCAAATGTTATAATGTCACGTTAGTGATGAACTGGCACCTATCTCCAAATGTTATAATGTTACGTTAGTGATGAACTGGTGCCTATCTTCAAATGTTATAATGTTACGTTAGTGATGAACTGGTGCCTATCTGTAAATGTTGTAATGTTACGTTACTAATATGACACTAACATTAGCATCTAAGTGTAAAATGTTCAATAAACCTATTATCTGTTGCAATATCTGGGAGCTATAACTTTTTGAAGCTTGTAGTAAAGTTGCCACTGTTCCATCCAACAGGTTGGGCAAATTCTAGTTATTTAAAGAGGGGTTAGAATAAATATCAGTTTTATAGACGTGTATTATTATTCCTTACATAAATTTATTTTCTCTTCTTTCTTGTTTAAAGTGTAATGTTCGAAGAACTTAGAAACTAAAGAGGACGCGCAATACCAAAAACAAGAAAATAAATCTAAGAAAAAGAGGTGTTTGGACATCCCGCTGTTATAGTAAGACCCTGGCCCTAGTGCGGTATCCCACAATTCGTAGATTACATAGTTCAACCAATTTTCCACATATGTAATTCATTTTGTACAGGTTTCTGTGTTACTTGCTTGAATAGACTGACTTCTAAGAGAGTTCATACAGAAAATCTTAAACACTAGCTTGAGGCTTTGAATAAAAGTTACTATATGTCATCTTCCTTGTATAGACGTCTCAGCACATGTTCACGACCCTGCGACACCCGGTCAACACAAATGTGATGAGCTACATGGAAAAACTGTATGAAAATTTAAAAGCAATCATACTAATATATCCAAAAACGATACATTCTATACTAGTTCCGAAATGATGAAATATGATTATATTAAATCATCATGCAGATATAATGAACAAAATATTTATTACTATATGAACTAAAATTAACAACAAAACATTAATACAGTGCGTTATTACAATTAGTTTTATAGGTCACTTCTAACAGTATCGTGCTCAAATAAGGATGCAATATAAATCATACAGAATTAGATGTGGCATTATCAATAGTGAACGTACAATGCACTGATAAAGTACATTTTAAAACAATTCATCATTTTTGCTGTGTTTTATCCATAGCAAAACACTGTGTGTAAGTGCTCTTTGGTGAACCTGAAAAGTTCAGCACTTTAGACGTGGTGAGACTCATCATAATTAGAAACTATCTGTACTAACAATAATGAGAAGTGTGAGAAATGCTTGAAACTTTTAATTTTTACATAACAACAACCATTACCTGTTTATTTATGTCCCTGTAAATATTCAACATCTTTACAGTATACAATTAATCAATTTTCTAAAACTAAACATTTTTCAGGTACTTTCACAGTAGAAGAACCAATGTTTACAGTAGTTTGGATCAACATTTCAGTAAAAAAGATAATATATATATATATGTGTGTGGTTTTTCAGTTTTAGGAACTTCAGTCAAGACCAGCACTAAATAAGAAGTTAACAACTGACTAGAATACAATCAGTGAAGGTATACATATATATACATACATACATACGTGTATGTTAGTTTCTAATTAGATAGAACAAGTGTTGTGTTTACACAAAGCAATTGTCGTAAAAATATATATATTTCACCTTCTTTGTATATTCCAAGTTTACTGGAGATACACCGAGATCTAAGCCTACTAACAATCTCCCTCTGTACTCAATCACTAATCATAAGGATTAGATTTTAGATGACGAAGATAGGACTTGTATTAGATGGTCCAATACTGCACCGTATATTATATCAAAGTGCTTCAACAAGGCATTTTTATTACTTGCACCTTTAAACTAAAAGAATAATTTGAATTATCTAAAATTTCATGCATGTGAGTTACAAAAAATACAGAAAGCCATACCAGGTATATCTATTGCAACAGTGCGATAGCCCATTGCAGCCAGCATTTGTATAGTGCCCAGATTCAGCCAGGTTTCTGAAGAAAATGCTGCTCCGTGCAGCAGAAGAATGGATATATGGGAGTTGGAACTTCCCTTAGGTAAAGCTTCACGGTAGAAAACGTTGACATCCTGGTTACAATTATGAAGAAATATGATTAAACAACAACAACAACAAAAAATACAATATAAAAATATTAACCACAAACACATTATGCTGATAATTATTTTTTGTTTGCATAAAATCGTGACCAGACGACTTTACGACTTTTCAATTAGATTATTAGTACATATTTTACCATTCTGCAACGTTTTAGTTGCAATATTATTAACAGTAAATAAAAGTTCACAATATACTTAATGTCAAATTGATATTATTACTGAATACTGTTTTTTTTTTTAATATAACCATCTATCTATATGAATTACATACTACATATATATTATATTTAGTGGTTTACCGTTTCTAGCAATATTGTAATGGTCCGAACAAATGTGAAAGTTGTAGGGAAAAACATCACATCAGAAACTATTTTCAGGAACAATTTTAACCAGAAATAAGTATAAATGTATGAATAATGTATTAATCTTTACACATTGACAAGTACAGTTGTAATTTTTAAGTAACAACAGAAATACAAAAACTTATTGTACGTAACTTTCCATGCACAAATTACAATACTCACTTAGATGTTCAGGTTCAGCTTAGTTTTGAATTCATACAATAATAATAAATAAATGTTTTGTTTAATTTATTTCATAAAAGGGTTTGTTTGTTTGTTTGAAGTTAAGCACAAAGCTACGCAATAGGCTATCTGTGCTCTGCCCACCACGGTTATCGAAACCCGGTTTCTAGCGTTGTAAATACGCAGACATACCGTTGTGCCACTGGGGGGCATAAAAGGAAGTACAAAATATAAAGATCTACAATCTATTTTGACTTGCCAATGAGCGTATGTTACCAAGCAAAAACAAAATCCAGGAGCTATTATATTTGTCAAGTACAAAATTGTGAAAAGTAGTTCATGGAAAGGCTTTGGAAGGAAATATCATAAAAACTGAGAAACGTATACATTTAAGAAGGAAAATGGAATGCTGTTGGTAATAACAAAAAGCTGAAGAGATCATCGATAAGGTCAAATATTGAAGAAGAGGGTAGGAAACAATGTAGGTGAGAAGATCGCCATTTTCGATGAAAACGTAACTAAATAGGTGGATATAAGGATCACACCTGTTTACAAAATTTTAAATGCCAAGGTTGCTACAGTACAAAACGATATGCAAGAAGTCGATGATTATTCAGATCTTAGATACAACCATTATAATATATATTGTGTGAATGTGTAATCCTGTTTTATAACAAGTCTGAAGGGTTACTTCTCAATGTGGATTCCTGTACGTGGTAAGGAGGTCTCCAAGGGAATGTTCTGTCTGTACAGTTTATCTCCTCTGGGATCCAAGCGTTCACCCACGTGTTTGCCGTGCTCGACGACCTGTGAAGGCGACGAGAAGATCCTAGTGGTTGAGTGGTGTCGGAGACACTGCAACACACCATTTTGGCCTTGAATTACTGTAGCTAGGTGAACTTGTGGTGCTTCTCCCTAAGGCCAATCATTTGGTCCTGTGGAGCAAGGGTCAACTCAGTGCTAGTGTTGGACATTCTTAACGGGTGTTGTGGACATTATGTCTGAGACTAGTGTTTGGGTATAGTACCCACAAAACCCTGGCATAGGTGTGGCAATGTAGTGCATCCTCTTGTAGCACTCCATGGAGAGTGGGGTCAGGGGTTACTGAATCATTCTTTATTTCTTATGGATAATACAAATAATGTAAATCAAAATAAAATAAAAATCATTGTTTTGAAATCGACCACAAATGGAAGACTCTGATCTACAGTCGCCACCATCTAATATTATTGTACGTCGGTTTCTAATTCTACATTAATCGTCTGACAAATAATTAAAACAAATGTCTCCTTATTCATTCCGAATGGATCAAAGGGCCTGGCTGACTGTCAAAAAGCTATGATGTGCGGACTTCTTGGTTGAAACATCTCAAACACAAGATAGCAAACTCCTCATGATATTGAAGTCCATTGGGAATATGCCTATTAAGGTTACTCTCCATGCTACTTTGAATTCCTCAAGAGTAGCGATCATAGAGAGGGACTTATTTAACATCCCCAAGTCGGATATTCTCGCTGGTTTCTCCAACCAAGATGTTTCGGCTGTTCGGCGTGTCTCCACTCGAAAATATGGAATAATTTATATTACAAACGTTCAAATTTTGACGTTTATATCGCCATATCTGCCTGCCACTATCAAGGCTGGTTATCTCAACTGTAAGATTCCTAACCCTCTCAGATGTTTCCAATGCAGAGGTTCAGAAACTCTAAGACATCTTGCCATGGTTCTTTGACATGTGCTCGTTGTATTGGCAAAGGCCACAACAGCTATGAGTGTCAATCGTGCCCACATTGCGCTAATTCTAATCGTTCCCACCCTTCATATTTTCGTTCTTGCCCTAAATGGGTAGAGAAAAAAGGGGTGTATCATTTGAAGACCATAAACAACATTTCTTATCCTGAGGCACATAAGCTGCTGCCCCCTCTCTCACCTCGGGCGTATGCTGCTGTACTCCATTCCACTGCTACAGTGAGGTGCAGACAAATCTATCCGTTTCTCCCACAGAGTCTTTCTCTCACCATGTCAAGAGTCTTCTGCCCTCCATGGATACACGTATTGACAAATCTACGTCTACTCTTGCAGCGTCCAGTGAATATATGGGCCTATTTCTATCGGTCTCGAAGGGCAGGGCAGCTATTAGTTCCACATTCACTAACTGAATTCTAATTTGTCAAACATGGCCTGCCTCCTTGACCAAGAGCAGGATCCATGGATGTCAATAGATCTCTTTCTACTAAACAAACACATCGTGGTTGTAAACAAAAACTAAAAGGTTCTCCACCCAGTTCTCCTACAAAATAAAGATTGCTACTTTCATACAGTGTAACAGTCAAAGTTTCCATTCTGATTTATATGACATTAAGGCCTTGGTTGATTCCTATCATCCTGTGTGTCAGTCCTTACAGGAAACTTTCTTCAGACATGCTGACGCTGTCACCTTTCGGCGATTTTCGTTGTACAGGAATGACAGATTGTGTGATGGGTGAGTTCATGGGGATATGGCACTGATGATGGATTAACTGAAACATAGTTGTTAATGTCCAAGGTCCATTGTCGTGGAGAAATTATGGAAATGAGTATTTAAAAAAGGCAGGTTATTTGAATATGATGCACTAAAATAACAGCAAGAAACACTGGCAAGTAAGCTTATTAGTGAATTTGTTTTGGGATATGAGAGACATATATTCAAATGAGAATGATGTAACTTTAGATAAATGTTTAAATGTGGGACCTGGCATGGCCAGGTGGTTAGGGCGCTCGACTCGCAATCTGAGGGTCGCGGGTTCGAATCCCCGTCCCACCAAACATGCTCGCCCCTAGAGGGAAGGCAACTAGTCATCACCACCCACCGCCAACTCTTGGGCTACTCGTTTACCAACGAATAGTGGGATTGACCGTCACATTATAACGCCCCCACGGCTGAAATCTTACACTGCTAAATTAGGGACGGCTAACGCAGATAGCCCTCGTGTAGCTTTGCGCAAAATTCAAAACAAACATGTTTAAATGTGTAACATTCTGGTAGTAAATAATTCCACAAAACATCTTCCACTTCTGCAGCATCTTTCCTATTATTGTCAAGAAGTGGAGACATTTTGAAACTCCTATAGCTTTGTTGTGAGGAATGTGGGTCTTAAAAAACTACAAAAATACACCCTTAATTTGAGAGATGTCTTGACACTTTCCATCCGTTTTTTCGAGACAAGATTGCCTATCTTTAGTAACAAGGTAAAGAAATGTTGTGTTGTAAATTTGGACAAGTTTGGAATCAGGACAATATGGTATATCTTCATCAACCACAAAAAGAAACAAGTATAAGGAAGATCTATATCCAATGCAACAGAGGGTCAACATTGTTTAGCCTTATAAATATCTTTTCGACAACACTAGCTATTAGCAATGCATGAGATTAACCAGTTACAATCCTTCATACGAAAAATCTTGAAATGGAGTGTAAATTTCTCCTAATGTGGAACCAGTAGAAATTCCACTGAAGAGAAAACTAAGGAAGGAGTACTCCTCCATATTACACTGTTCCATATTAATGTTGTAAACAATATAAAAAAAAAACATTCTGAATAGCCTTTTTTACTCCCAAGGAAAAAACAAAATAAATTGCAACATCATATTTGTGAAACTTGTTACAATAATTTTCACAATCTTTACTGGGTGCAGTGTCACAGCTATTTTTTAAACCTCCCTACTTAATGGCTCAGCAGTACGTCTGCAGGTTTAAAATGCTGAAAACCGGGTTTCGATACCCATGGTGGGCATTGCATAGATAGCCCTTTGTACAACTTTGTGTTTAACAACGATTAAAATAATCTAAAATCGTATGAAAAACATAAATTTCAATGTAGTGTCATTGGGTTATTAATGGTAGGAGTGGCAAAAACATGACGTCATATCTTTTGAAACATCCAAATAAGAACAACTTAAGTAGATTGTAGAATAATTTTCTGAACCCTGAATGATTTAAAGTTAAGGTAATCTGTAAAAATAGAGTGCAAATAATAAAGTCCTTGTAAAATATACTGTTCAGAAATTGTCACTATTTGGGTTTAATCTCCTGTGACTTTATTATTTTTTTTTAGCTCTGTATAATGTTAACTAAACAGATTGGGTGTATAAGGAGGATAAGAGTAGGAGTTTGTAGGTGTTATGGCTGAAGTAATAATTTATTGCACCCCTCCATATAAAATATATCTTTAAATTTGATGACGAGGAACCCACTTGTTAGAAAATAAAGTTTGTAGACGGCTGGACTGGGTAATGAAGAAAACGTTTCGACAAGACTATGTCATCGTCAGGTACAAGTAATTTACAGAGACTGACCATTGTCGAAAAATTTTCACACAACCACCAGAACAAAAACCTCATACTGACACTGACACATAAAACAACAACATAACATTACACTGCAATTTACCATATATTCCTGAAATCAGTTCAAAAATAATCAACACTTGGAGAAAACTTGCCATTAAACATAAAATTCCTGTTGACTTCGAATTCACCTGAAAACACAGCCCTAAACTAAAAATGACACAGAATCACGCAATACCAACGTCATTTTATAAAATAACGTGCAATAACTGTCCCGAATTCTACATCAGAGAAACCGGAATAAATTGGAAACCAGATTCACCGAACATAATAAAAAAAAACTTTCCATGTTTACCGCCATTGAAACTAAAAAAAACCACAGTTTATCTATACAAATCAGTGTAATTTTAAACAAAGAACCAAACATTAATAAACTCAGATTAAATCAAGCTAATTTTAATTGATCCAAACAGCCCCACCCTAAACCAACACCAAGATACCTATATTAGACTGTGAAGCAATCTCCGGTCATGTGACCTCTTTGTTCCATACCGTATATATGTTCATGTGTCTCTGTAAACTACTTGTACCTGAGAATGACATGATCTTGTCGAAACGTCGTATATTTATAATATGGTTTTCTTCATTATCAAGTCAAGCCGCCTCTGAACTTTATTAGAGGGTTCCTGATGAAGAAAAGTCCACCTTTCGAAAGCACTTAGGCTACAGGGCTTCATATTTTTATCTGTAACTGAGTTTTTAAATTTACATGTTTTCCTAACATCATGAATTTATTCAGGTATATCCTTTTTTTTCTCTTAATTTCCTTGCAGTTTCAGCATGTAGTTACGAAATTTCTCGTTGACCGCCACGCCCCCAGGTAACAGAATACTGTGCTTGTGTTGAATAAACAGCTTTGTTTGTTTTAAATTACACTTTTGTTTGCTTGTTTTACCCTACTGTCCACGTTCAATTTATTTTTCACTTAGGCAGTCCTGAACCTGCGTTTTGTATGAACTTATGGCTTTTCTGTTCCACCTCAGTGTACCTGAATATCACATGTGCATGATTCTGTGAGAAAGTATAAAAATTCATGTAAAAATGTTGTTGTAACTGTGACTCTTTTATAAATGGCTACCTGTTTGTATTTCCTACCTACGAAGCTAGAGTACTGCGAATCGTTTTGTTTAACACAATACAAAATCATTATCTTTACAATCAATTAAACCTTATAAAAAAATCCTAAAGCCTTCTGTCAATTCCATTCCAAAAAAATCATTTGAAATTCACTTTTGAAACAGTATTACAGTTAACCCCTAAATTACAGATTTGTTATATGCTTCCATACAGGTAGGATCCACATATTACGTCATATTGACTATATTTGTATTGTTATTACAACACTCTTGCCCCCCAGTGGCACAGCGGAATGTCTGCGGACTTACAACGCTAGAAACCGGTTTTCGATACCCGTGGTGGACAGAGCACAGATAGCCCTTGTGTAGCTTTGTGCATAATTAAAAACAAACAAACATTACAACACTCAGTGTCGTGAACTTTACAAAGAAATAGGATGAAGTCACTCATTATATATATTTAAAATACATAGAGAACTCAAATATTTTATATGTAAAATACATAGATAATTCAAATATTTTATATGTAAAATACATAGATAATTCAAATATTTTATATGTAAAATACATAGAGAACTAAAATATTATATATGTAAAATACACAGAGAATTCAAATATTTTATATGTAAAATACACAGAGAATTCAAATATTTTATATGTAAAATACATAGAGAACTCAAATATTAATTAGTGAGAGTAGTAAATATCTTGAATTTCGCGGGCTCACAACAACTTTATAAACTTTTACACATACACATTTATATATATATATATATATATGATAGGAATTCAATTTCATAAAAAATACCATGTAAATTATTTTAAATTACATTTCGCTGCGAAGCATCACACACCAAAAAAATAACTTGTTTCACTTAATAAAATCCTATACCTACACTTGTTAAGAGCCCATTACAACCAAGTTGATTTGGTCATAAAGCTGTTGGCATCATTAAGTATTAAGTGCTTGGCTAGTTTTCAAGTTTAAATAATCCCTTAGACTTATTTGGTCACAGAGCTACTGACATCATTAAGTATAAAGTGCTCAAAGGGCTAGTGTTAATCTAAATTGCTTAAGTTCCAAAACATCTAAATTTTTATAACAAAAAAGTTAAAAATTGCATATGATTACAAGTTATAGTGTTGATACATCTTTTTTGGAACATAATTTGTGCTAAGTCATGTGAAAGAATGTAAAATTTATTGCTGCTTCGGTTAAGTATGTGACGTATTAGGCTAATTTATCGGTAACAGAAAAACGTCTTATTTTAAGGAAAGTTTTATACCCATCTTGACATCATTATTGAACTGTTGGTACCCTGACGTGGAAAGCTAATAGTTGAGAGTATGTACGTATGTAGACAAATTATATGAACCTTTATATCTGTTATAAACTGTCATAACTCTACATTATAAAATAAGTTTCATTTTTCATTTGAATTTGTCATCAATACAGCAAAAATTTAGGAGTATTGTATTGAGTTCTTTTCTTAGCAATATTTAAACGAATTAATTTGGGGTAATAATTATATATTGATGCTCATCAATAAAAACTGTTATGTCCAACGTAGCTGTCCGTATCTGCTGAAAGTAAAGATTCTGCTCTATCTATCTGTTTAGTAGTGATTTTATAATAATATTTGTGATTAGAGTTTTAAGTTAATCCGCATGACCTACTTGTCTCACACTTAGATATTAACACTAAACTAGGATATAGAAAAATTAATATGATTAAAGTAACTTACATCAATAGTGATACTGGTTTCTTTGACATCAATGTCTGCAGCCTTTTGAGTAATTTCTTCGGGTATTTCTTGAGACTTCAGGTCAACATGCCTCCAGAAGTCTGAAGTTGTGATATCTTTTGTTTGATCTGAGAATTGTTGAATACTGGCAGATTCAGCCTCACATGGCCGACATGTTAGACAAGCAAGCAACAGGATCATAGACAATCGAGATGTCATGATAATCCGTCAACCTGGTACGTAGAAAGAAAGTATAAATAGAGGCTAGAGACATTTCAGAGTTGGAAAAATTGCAAACTTGTTTTAAGTAGTACTAAGAATTGTTTTCTAAATAAAGAGTTAACTTACTGAAAAAGTAGTAATTTATTCAACATCTTTAAATTACTTACTTATATCATCTAAAACAAACAAATGAAATAAGAAACTGAAAGACATAAAAACTCTTTCCTATGACGTCACCTTTCTTCAAAGAGGATCTGAAGTAAAGTCTCCCTTAATGAGAGCACAGTTTCAGTTAAACACGTAGGATACGATAAAACATTTGACTGGAAGCCTCGTTTATATGGTACTGCCAATGCAGCATCTACACTTATAAAATGTATGTCACCTTAGCCAGTAGTGCTTACAAAATCAAGGATAAACAGATGCGTAAAAACCTGTTTAGCAGGTTCATATCAGAAGGTACCTAGCTTATAGCAACAATGATTAAGCCGATGTTTACCGCTTGGTGACTCAGCGGTAACCTCGAGGGTTTCATCACGCTAATATTCGAGTTTCGATCCATATTGTGGGCACTGCACTGGTAGCTCATTGTGAAGTGTTTCATTTACCTCAAGTAAACAAGAAGCTGTGTAATGATTTAAATAAAAACATGTTTATTATTCAGAAACACTTAGATGAAAAGCTTGCAGATGTATGGTGTATCTACAAAATTAAAACAAAAATACGTAAAACATATATAAATTGTTTATGAAACCTCATAAATTACGTGGTTTCTGAAGGTAAGTCATCTAGTTCAGTTCGAAAAGCACTCGGGTTATTCGAGTTCTAGTTTATGGTTTTGGTTCTTGTGCTAATTGTTAATACTACGAGTGTAAATTATTCGGTAAAACTAAAACAATCATACATCTATATACAAAACAACACTTGCGGTTATATTCCCAGCCACAGCATTTTAGTTACTCAACGAAGACAATGTAAAATACCTTCTTACTTGTGTTCGTTTGTTTGTTTTTTCGCTCAAAGCTACTCGAGGGCTATATGCCCTAGCCGTCCCTAATTTAGCAGTGATAAACTAGATGGAAGGCAGCTAGTCATCACCATCCACCGCCAACTTCTGGGTTACTCATTCACCTACGAATAGTGGGATTGACTGTAACATTATAACATCCCCACTACTGAGAGGACGAGTATGTTCGGTGATGGGAATTCGAACGCACGACCCTCAATCCCACTATTCGTTGGTAAAATAGTAGCCCAAGAGCTGGCGGTGGGTGGTGTTGACTAGCTACCTCCGTCTAGTGCATCACTACTAAATTAGGGGCGGCTACCGCAGATAGCCCTCGTGTAGCTTTGCGCGAAATTCAGAACAAACATTGCATTGGTTCTGCTCTTAATGGGCATGATACTTTCCATGGTTCTAATAGCTAACAAACACACACGTACACAAAATTCTTCACTAAGTACCGAATACGACTGTTTCATTTTAGCACTTTCCAATACGAAAGTCACATTTCATTTTATCGTTCCTGTTAATTTAAATTAATCAAGTAGTTCCAACGGTATCATCATTTAGCATCATAAGTTATCAGACATATCACTGAGTTACTGGTGCTATCGAAGGTATTCTAAAATTGAGGGTAAATAACGTTAACGACGAAGCCTTAAACAGAAACCTAATCAAAGCTTTCACAGTTAGTGAGGCAAATAAAAACCCTTTTTAAAATCTATGATGTAAATTATTTATAAATAGTAGTTTCAAGATTATTTTCTTTATTCAACGATCCGAAGCCTTCCTAACAATGGACATCAAAGTAATATACTTGTAATTTCACACATCCTACCTCTACCCTTTATATTTTGAAAACAGAAAAGAAAAACAAATTCTTCATTGTCCAACCATGGTTGTAAAATATACCCCACCATTTGCTTATTCGCATTCTTGCAAACGAAGAACCTTTCCACAACAAACTTTTTTTACAACAGATAATAGTAAATTAACAAACACAACCTCCGTAGTTCGAGAAGATTGCAACAAAAGTGGGATTCTACTTTAAAGTATTAAGCCATATAAAGTGAATAATAACAAATGTCCTTTTTTGAGATGAGTAAAGAAAATTTTTATTTGTCGTCTTGATTTGACACCACCAGCAAAATATTTAAAATCGTAAGATTATCACAGTTGTATATATTCATCCACACGCAATTACATTTTTCCGTAAATTAGAACCTTTCATTTTCTATATGTTAAACTTTTAGTGAATAATACACATTTACTTTCATAGAAAAGAAAAGGAATGAAACCGTCCTACCAGCCAACAGCCTTGGTATCCCTATATTAGAAAATTAGTAATGTTGATTCTAATATATTTCGTAAATTTGACTTTTTGTTTAAGATAGACCATATGATATTAAAACTTTTGGAGAATTTGTTTAATTAATGAAGACCTTTACAAGTAATGTTAAAATTTTTTGTGCATTTTTTTTAATGAATGTACTGAATCTTGATGACCCAACATGATATATTGTAAACATATTCTGATTTCGCTCTAACATACATCATAAATTTTGTTTCAATCGTTGTAACAAGAGTATTAGGGTTAAGATAACCCAAGAGGTAGAAACTTACAATACTATACAATTTAGTTCCAACCTCTTTGAAAATAACTTGACATAGACCGCCTTCTAGATTTTAGTACTATTTTTTAAAGCTCTATTGAAAAATTAATTATTTCAAGTTGCAGAATCATAATATTTGATTTAACTTTCCTTACTTTTCTAGGTACTGAAATATATTATATTGGCGTTGAAGAAATAGATATATTGCCGGATTAGTTAATAATAGGTAGCGCTACAATGCAGGTTCATCACAGACAGCTGTAAATTGATTTCCACCGTCAATATTTATAAGTGATGTAATTGTACAATAATGCTCTGTTAGTTTTAATACATCAATAAACATTTTTACGGTAGACAACTGATGTTATGATAACGAAAATCAAGAGCATGCACAGGTGAAAATGAATAATATTAACATCGCTTTTTGTACATACACGTAGTTAGGCCTACGTATTGATAATATTAACACTAGTAGTCGTCAATTCGTATTAACATTGTCATATTAGTTACTCAGTTCTGACAATTTGATTTTCTATCAGAAGAGATCTGCACTTATGTAAAAATTATAATAATTCAATGAAATAGATGAAATTATTTTTATTACTTAAAAAAAGTAAATATAAACTTTTATATATTCCTCGGTAGTATAGTGGTGAGTATCCCCGCCTGTCACGCGGGAGACCGGGGTTCGATTCCCCGCCGGGGAGAGGAAAAAAGTTTTTTCAGTGTATCAATTTTACATACTCTATTTTTTTAACAACAAAATTTAACTTATAGATTAAAATTTTTAAAATAGTAAAAACAACGTTTAAAAATAAATAATACAACTATTTGACGATGGTCAACATCAAAGATTCCTGGATTACAGCTTTCTCTCCTTCTTACACGATCTCCTTCTTATTGGAAGCCTCTTTTCGTGGCCGAAAAGGGGCATAACCAGTTCGCTAGTTCTTTTGAGAGACTGGAGTGTAACACTCTGATTTTGAGACACAGTGGACATATTAAGAAAAATGTGGGAAATAACATTTCCAATTAACTTGTTTTTTGATAACTTCGACTGTTTTTGGCGTTTAAAACGTAATTTTTAAGGTATTTAATAAGTTGCCTGTTTGTAATTAAGCACAAAGCTACACAGTGGGCTATCTGTGCTCTGCCCACCACGGGTATCGAAACACGGTTTCTAGCGTTGTAAGTCCGCAGACCTTCCGCTGTGCCACTGCGGGGCTAATAAGTTGTCAGGAAACTGAAATTCTACATGTATATCAGCCTAATATTCATATTTAATTTAATATTAGAGAATCTACTGAACTTTTATTTTATGAATTGTATAATTTATCGTTAAATAAGGATGATGAATTGTTAGATATTAATGTACAGTTATGGAATACAATATTAATTTTCTATATAAAAGAGTATTCATATCCCTTAAAGCATATAATCAGTTAAAACCTTCACTTACAAAACTCCTATTACCTAGTATGAGTCACTCCTGATGATGGTAGCGAACAGTGTGACCATAGGTAAAACAGGGGCGGGTGAAAGTCTTCTATAATGTAAAAAAAGAGGAACAAAAGACTCTGCGAAATGGTATTAATATATATACAATATAATATTTTAAAAATTACAGTTTAAACCCTCAAAGCCAGGGAACTGTTATAAACCAGTAAACCTTAGAAGTGATATAAAAGACAAGTTAACTGCAGATTTTTTTCCACATTCCCCTTAACTTGCCCATTATGGTTCAAAATCAGAGGTGTGTAAAAATGGCGTTTCAAATCTACCTTAGCTTATTTTGATCGAACGTTTGATCTTCCAGCCCTACTGATAAGCTCTGGTATTGAATGGAAGAAAGAAACAAAATATTGGATTTGATCGCCACTCTTATAACGCACTCACGACACCAAAGTGATGAACACTTTACGCGGCAACGGAACGCAAACCATAAATCCTCGATTCACGTTCCGAGCACACTAACCATTAGGCCACGGTCTCATTATGAGATAACATAGTATAAAATATTAACGTCAAATAAATAAAGTGTTAAACTATTTTTGTAACGATAAGCATGTTTAACATAGTGGTGAACAATTGTAAAGAAATTTTAATAAAAATATCGGCTAGAAAATTAATATTTAATCCATTTTTATGATTCAGTATGAGTTATTAATTTTGTGTGAATCATATTCTCTGGAAACAAATGAATTTAAATAATTGTAAAGTAAAAACAGAAATACCTTCTTTTTTAATACGCCCCCAGTGGCACAACTGTGAATTTACAATGCTACAAAACCGCCCTTCGATACCTGTGGTGGGCACAACACAGATTACCCCTGGTGTAGTTTAACTATAAACAAACTTTTATAAAAAAAAATACAGCTAGTTGCTCTGAAAATTA